ACAAATAATAGTACAGATCACACAACATAGAAAACTAAAGACTAAGCAACACGAACCCCACCAAAAACTGGGGGTGATCTCAGGTGCTTCGGAAGGGTAAGCCGATCATGCTCCACATGTGGCACCCGTCGTGTTGCTTATGTTATTACAAATCCGGTAAATAGTCTAATTCGGTAAGTCACATTCGTGAAAAGGGAAGGATATTGTAGTTACGACATAAGGAACATATCCGATATCATCTGTGAAACGGTTATTCCATAACGGTCAACCAACTCGTGATGGCGTCCGTAAAATTTACGAAGGGATGATTTCAACTTCACCATTTGGAACTCTTGGTTTAATAGCTTCCTTGTGAGCAACAATCCTCTATCAAGGAAATCATGATAAGAAACACAAGCCCGGGAATATCGTATCAATTGAGAGATATATACTCCGTATGCAGGCGCTGCTGGAATGTTGCTACATAGAAATGGAAAGTTCACAATTGGGAAGCTGAAATCATCTCTTTGGTCGTAAAGTTTTGTTTTCAACCGACCCTCATTGTCAATTTCTAGATGTAAGTCAAGATATGAGGCAGACTTAACTGTATCTGTAGTATCCTTTATCTCTAGTTCGATGGGATAGATTCGTTTAACATAGTCACCAAATTTTGTATTATTTAGTGAGAGAACATCATCTATATAGCGGAACGTAGAGTTAAAGGATATTGCTAACTTCTTATCTTTCTTCCTAAGAAGTTCCTGTATGAAGTCAGCCTCATTATAATAAAGAAACAAGTCGGCAAGAAAAGGGGCACAATTGGTTCCCATTGCAATTCCGACAGTCTGTTGAAAAACACGTCCTCCAAACGTAACAAATATGTTGTCAATCAAGAAATCAAGCATCTTGATAATGTCAGTTTCAAAGAATTTTTTGTTTGAATCAGAGTGATTCTTTACAAAGTAGGATTTATCCCTCCCCAAGACAAGATACTTGTATCTACGTTCGCCATTCTTTTTAATGAAACAAAGTAATACCAACTCTTCCAATTTGTCTTTTAGTTTGTAATAACACATTATCCAACCGAAACCATAACAGAAACATCAAAAATAAATACATGAATGTTGGATGTATAAAATACCGAGACACGTCGTATGGCAATGCAAATTCAAACTCGGTATAACAGTCATATTCGGGAATAGGTCACGTTCGGTACTTAGCAGACAGACGAAATAGATGTTAAACCACAATCTAAGACGTGAAAAAAATGGCATTAGTTAGTTTAGACACAGACACATTGTATAGATCAACCAATTCGTGATGTTGTCCATAAAATTTACGGAGTATCATTTTTAATCTTTCCTCCTCATAACTCTGTTGGAGCCGTTTCTGCGTAAGGAGCAAACTCCTGTATATGAAGTCAGTATAGTGTGAATATGCACAAGCATAACGTATCAATTGAGATAAGTAAACACCACACGACAGATCAGAGAGTATGTTACTGCTGAGAAATGGGAAATTGATAATTGGGAAGTTGAAATCATCCCGTTTGTCATAGATTTTAATGTGAAGTCGTCCATCTGTGTCAATATTGAGGAAAAGATCAAGGTATGAAGCAGTCCTTCTTGTATCAATAGTATCCTTAATTTCAAGTTCGCTGGGATATATGAGATGCAAGTACTGACTGAAATATGGGTATAATTGCTTCAGACAATGAGCAGATTAAAAGTTGGTTGCAGAAAGATGATGTTGTCATTGTTGACCGTGGATTTCGTGATTCAGTTGATCTTCTGGAGGAATTAGGAATACAAACAGAAATGCCATCGTTCTTAAATAAAGGTCAGTCACAGTTTACCACAGAAGAAAGCAATACTTTAAGATTGATAACAAAGATTCGTTGGGTTGTTGAATCTGCAAATGGCAGAATTAAGACATGAGTGTTTTTCAACCATGTTATGCCAAACTCCCAAATACCATAAATTGGAGAGTACCTACGCATTGTTTGCTCAATATGCAACAAGTATTTCAAGCCACTAAGTTCTTCAAGAAGACCAATTACTTGGGTGTAAAATTATTTATCTTTCTAAGCAAAAGAAAAAATTGAGTCGGAAAATCTTGACCGCATTAGAACTTCTAGTTGGTGCAAGACTGATGCTGCATCTGTTGATTTTCCTTCGATTACGGTAAAGATCTCAGAAACCTTAGGTGTTTACTAGATAAAATTGGCCAAGTCATACGCTGCTGAACATATTACTGAAAACAATGACTTTGAGGTACTGGTACATAAACAGGAAAACAATTTAATATGTGCCAAAATCAAAAGTAGACATGTTTCAGCAAGAGCTTATTTGTTATGGATTCAAAACGATGAAGTGACTTTTCTTGGCTGGTTCTGTAACTGTCGTGCTGGAGCAAGAATAGTTGGTATGTGTGCACACGTTTCAGCAGTAATCTGGTTTTTAATAGAGGGACGAAAGATACCAGAGGGACAGTCAAACTCATAGATCGAAAACAAACTGACAACGCCATGGCCAAAAATAAAAAGACAAACAGACAAATAATAGTACAGATGACACAACATAGAAAACCAAAGACTAAGCAACACGAACCCCAACAAAAAATGAAGGTGATCTCAGGTGCTCCGGAAGGGTAAGCAGATCCTGCTCCACATGTGGCACCCGTCGTGTTGCTTATGTTATTTTTAAGTTATGCTCGCTGTTTGAACATACCCTATTGTTCTGGTGACGATTGGACAAAATATCTAACAGATGCATGTAACATGCCAGATCCCGAGATCATTGATGAAAGTGATGATAGTGACTACAATGAGGAATGATTGCATAGCTTATGTCAAACTTTTGTCATTTACCGAGTAAGATTAATGACATATATATAATTGTATTTCATGATGTTTGCAATCTATCATATTAAATCTTTCTTCGGTGAGAGTCATGACAACAAAAAGGTTATACATGTATAACCCCTTTCACGATTTGAAGAGTATGATTTCTTAGACAGGCGAAATCGTCGATAAAATGTTGAATTGAACCTAACTTTTAGTACATTGCATTAGCATATTTATATTTTAACAAATGTTATTACTGTAAGAGACATATAATATAATGTATACATGTAGTATATCTCTGTTACTGAATAACCATCTGTTCATTTACAACAAAATCTGTTGTAGAGTCGTTACTGGTTCAGACGTACTTATATATATATATATATATATATATAGACGAAATTATATTAAACATCATCTTAGTTTCTTTACGTTTCTAGGCAATTGGATAATTTTTGGTTACATAAACATAAAATAATATCATCTTGAAAAGTGTGTTTCAAATTGTTAGTAATTTCAGAAATAACAATTAAAAATATACTTTTGATTATTTACACTGAAACAAAATTTCCATGCACCGTAAAAATCGACAAAACGTAAGATTCTGACATATATCTATGTATTTTGAAGCCATAGTAACGGTTGCCATGGTAAATACAAATAATCAGGGACCACAAAAGAGGAAGTATATTACTCTGACATTGATTCATAGAACGTCCTTTTGTATATTTTGTATATAAGAAGGTGTCTTTGTTTAAAATTGTCAACTTAAATACGTGCAATAACAACAGCACTAGTTTAAAAATTGATTAAAAATTCATGTTTGGTATTAATAAAGGGATACAATTTGACAACGTCATATTAAGTGATTTCAAGTAATATATACAAAATATATATTTTTTTGGAAAGCAGACACCTATAAGATATTTTGAGAGAAAAATCATCTACTTTTGACGTGGGGCCGATTTCGACCCTTAAAGCCCCTACTCCTTTGGCATAGGATGAAAATCCTTAACCAACGAAAGTATGATAGATTATGGCTTTGACATATAGAACATATCCGTGGTCATCTATATGACATAGCTATCGTAACAGTGTAATTAACTGAAAGTTTCCAAATGGAACCTCGCTTTCGCCATAATTTGAATTTTCTGACCTGAATGAAACGATACCTGAATAAGGGTGTCTTGGATCGGATAGAAGAACCAATAAGGAAGAAAATGAGGACATTGGTAAGGTATATGGTTACATAGGAATGATTTTGATATTTGTTTTTATTTCATGAAGGACGTACAATTCAAAATGGCGACTTAGATTCATTTCGAACTTTTCAGTATACGGTTATGGATAGTAAACTGAACATTGCTAGAAAACAACGAAATATAGATGTCAACGTTAAATACGTTAATAACGTTCTACAGTTAGACAGGAAATACGAAATTAAAAAAAAAAACCAATACTGATTGAACTTTATTTACTATGCTGAATAAAATCATCAAAGATAGATACATGATTTAAATTTGTACGTCAGACGCGCGTTTCGTCAAATTTGTAAGTCAGACACGCGTTTTGTCAAATTTGTACGCCAGACGCGCGTTTCGTCAATTTTGTACGTCAGACGCGCGTTTCGTCAAATTTGTATGTCAGACGTGCGTTTCGTCAAACTGGTACGTCAGACGCGCGTTTCCTCTACAAAAGACGCATCAGTGACACTTGAAACAAAAAGTTAAAAAGGCAAAACAAATTACGAAGTTGAATAGCATTGAGGACCCAAAATTCCGAAAGGTTTGCCAAATAATGCTAGGGTAATCTATTCCTTTGATAGGAAATCCTTAGTATTTTTAAAAAAATCAAAGTTTTGTAAATAGGTAATCGAGTCCCGGTGGGCCTAGTAAATTCAAAAGATATGCTGTCCTGTTTTATAGATATTTTAAACTCATTTTTTCGAAAGTTAACAAACCTTGTATATAAGATTAATAATTACAACTAATCATGTGTTGTAACAAGGAATGCGACCTTCTTTGTTTAATGGAACGTATCATGTACGATGACACATAGTTTTTAATTTTCATTTGCTTTTCAAACTTTTTTTTCTACTTTTACATTTCACAATGAATAATAAGTCCCTGACCACATGTCACCATTTAATTATATACAGAAACTGACAAGTATGAGATAAAGGGAAATTATCAAAGCCAAGCATACTTGTCTTTGTACGTATCACTGTAGCCATGGTCTCATCTGTCCTCCGATGGAGTATTTTCATATCGATATTCTCGTCCGTTTGCTGTTTAAGACGAGATTATTTTATAACTGCTGAGGAACAATGGTGGGACTATGCACCGAGTAAACAGAACCTTATAACAAACGACAGAACGTATGTATAAAACCCTGATAATGTAGTATATTTTTAAGTTGTAAATAGTCTTTTTGATGTACTGTTAAACTGTAGTTCGAATCAAATTATTTGTTTCTTGTCACCTTAACAGCATTTTTACATTGATTTATTTATTCCGCATAAGCGAGCTTTATTTCATTCTTTTTAAAGCATAATGTTTCCGCAAAAATTGACGAGAAAACGACTACGGTTATCTAGATAATCAAAGCTGCCAATATTGTTGAAGTCTTAAAATCATTTAGAAAACTCTAATGTAGTATTTAAACTCCTATATGTTGGGCCAAACAGAAAAACATGTGTGTGCTTGTGTTTCCTCTTTCCAAAACTGTTTGTTTTTCATTTGCACGTAATGATTCACAATATCGTTACGTTTCATCCCTTCGTAAATTTTAAGGACGCCATCACGATTTGGTTGACCGTTATGGAATAACCGTTTCACAGATGATATCGGATATGTTCCTTATGTCGTAACTACAATACCTTCCCTTTTCACGAATTCGACCTACCGAATTAGACTATTTACCGGATTTGTAATAACATAAGCAACACGACGGGTGCCACATGTGGAGCAGGATCGGCTTACCCTTCCGAAGCACCTGAGATCACCCCAGTTTTTGGTGGGGCCCGTGTTGCTTAGTCTTTAGTTTTCTATGTTGTGTCATCTGTACTATTATTTGTCTGTTTGTCTTTTTATTTTTGGCCATGGCGTTGTCAGTTTGTTTTCGATCTATGAGTTTGACTGTCCCTCTGTTATCTTTCGTCCCTCTTTTACAGTATATTTGCGTTTGTATATTGTTCTGTGCGGAGTCTGTAAAAAGCTTTATTTTGCCTAAGGAATATACTCTCGCATGTTCATAGTTATGGCGTATGTATTCACCAGTGGCCATTTTGTTTGTTGATTAAGTCAATCCGAATTATTAACCATATGCATATGTAGTTTGCTACAAAGGCATTTCTAAATGTGTGTAATGTTTCTGATTTTTTTATAATGAGATTGTAGAGTAATTCAGGACAGTTTTGTTAGACTTCTTTGCCAGATAATTTGTAATTTGTTGATATGTGACAGCTGTGTTCTTCATTAGCGAAGACAATAGCTCGAGTCCTGTGCTAGGGACCGTCTTAAACTTGCAGTTAGTTGAAAGTAATTTGTTCAATGTTGAAGGTCTAAATGAGACTTAAAAATATATCTCAAAAAAAAAGCGCTTTTTCTCTACAACTTTTTTTATTGTAAGACCGAGCGAAATGATGCTTCTCTTATTTGGACTTTTATTTAAAATTCACAATTCTGATATTTGGGACTTAAATTCATTGTGTTAACTATTTATTTTATAGTTTGGTTTGTACTTATATTTCGTATCAATAACTACTTAAAGGGGCAGAAGCGGTCAAATTTATGTTCACCGATTTGATAGAAATTCTCACATTTGATTTATAGCACACTAAAATGTATACTAAAATTACAAAAAGTCTGCACTGTTTAAACAAATGTCATTTTCTAATTTCCGTTTGCTCATCTATATGCCTTAATATCCATTTATTTTTTCCTGTTCAAAACATGTTAGTTCTATATACGCAGAACTCGAATTCCATAAATAGTACACTCAGTCTTACGAAATCACTATCCCAAAATTTCCATGATGAGATCCAATTACTATTGTTACTTCAACCATAATTACAATGCAATAGACCTAATAATTTACATTTGATTTTGATCAAATATTCTGTAACAAATATATTTGAAAATCTCTCACATGTATTATTACTAACTTATGTATTTATGCATAATGAACATTGTATATTATTGAAATATGTGTATATATTTAAAAGAATATTCTGAATTATGAGAATACAAGAATATTGTTGGGTAAGCTCAATAAACATTCAAATAAATATAACACAAATGAAATACTTATGACAAAAACAATTCATATATGTCAAGGTCTCAGAGTAAAAGATAAAAGACAGAGATTATGTTTGTGGATGAAATATCAAAAATGTAATGTTTTGTTTGTTCAGGAAAGTCATTTCACTGAAAATTTTGAGAAAGACTTAAATACTGAAATTAAAGGTCGACAATATCATAGCTTTGGAACCTCACAGTCCAGAGGAGTTTCAATTTTTATTAACAACGATTTAGAATGCAAATTTATAAATATATTTAAAGACCAAGAGGGCAGGCTACTCTTAATAAATGTTGAAATTGAAGACAGTATTTATACATTAGTGAATGTTTATGCACCAAATATACCTAAAAAAAGATATTTTTTTTCTTCAAAAATGTTAAAGAAGTAGTTACTAAAAAAAGTTTAGAAATGGTTATAATTGGAGGAGATATGAATGATACTTTAACAAAAATAGATAATAAAAAAAAAATGTAACAAAAACGTCATTACCGAGAGGTTAAATTCTTTATGAAAATACACCAAAATATCGTCCTCCATTTAAAATAGATTGGAAACAGTGTCGTCAGGTCAATAAAGACGCTCTTTAATCCTATTGTAAAAATTGACGCAAACGGGAAAAATCTTATAAAATATCTTTCCGAATAAATGAATAATTTAATATCACATTTTGAAAATCATTTAGAAAAAACAAGAGGGTACATAATACGCCTAATACGCCTTATTATAGAATACGAAGAAGAGTTCAAGTACTCGCAAAGCGCTTTGTGTTCGTACTGGCCAACACAGCAGTCACTAATGCGGTGGTGGTGGTATGACGTAAATATTAGGAAGTTCTTCAGAATGAAATTATAAATTCGTTTTTACTAACACGTGGGTCCGTGTGCTCCACTTTGGTTAATGAGCAGTGGTTCTTTTTATAATTGTTCTTTTCGCTTTACTATTATTAATTCGTAATGAAAATATCAAGTGTGTAAGGCGTGGTCACTTTTTTGATTTTTTAGACACGTTATACCTGTTTCTCCGATACCTTTATTTACAAATTTGGTGATGCTTAGCATGAGAACACGTGTATTTATGATTGAGGTATGTTCTTGGACAGATAATGTTTGTCAGGAGGGGGACATTGGATGCTGTCATATTTCACAGTAAATGGAAAAGCTTCTCAATAATGAATTATGTAAATGATATAGCATACGCTGCTTTAAAAGAACGAGGACAAAACAAAACTATGTGTTTTCAAGATTCTCCTGCCTATTTCATGCTTCAAAAGAACCATAACGAATGTTCTCATTGGTTCCTTAAGAAATAAACCTCACAAAATTTTATTCTTTCTTTAAATACAAGGTCATTCAAAAAGAAAAAAAATATTAAAGGAATCCTATCTAACTACCTCATATTCGTTAACGAATTTAATGCTTGGTGATTCGTGATCTCTTAATCAAATTCCTTTTTTGAATGGGTTTTTTCGTTTCTCGTTTATTGTTTCTACATAAATTGGGTCGTTAGTTTTCTCGTTGGAATTGTTTATCATTTCGTGTATAGCTTGCTATGTGTTATGGGTTTACCTCATTTTTGGAGGCTGTACAGTGACCTATAGTTGCTATCCTTCTACGTCATTTTGTTTCTGGTGGGGTAATCATGCCACATCTTCTTAATTTTATATTATTATGTATTAGTAAGCTGAATAACTCGTTATACTAATATTTGTCATCGAACTGTGAAGACTTCGTTATGCATTTGTTATTATTCGATATACAAAAGTTTGTAAATACGAATTTAATTCTTTATAAAAATGTTTTTAAATACATTGCAGGTCCTGTTTATTTTCTGTATTTCATTCAAACACAAAGAAAGCATACATGATATAAATGGATTTATACACAAAGGGGTATTTTGTTTGATAGATGTCTTGAATGGAGTTTTATATACAATGTTCAGACTGTTAAATCTTCAACCTAATTTTATATATATGTTTTTTGTGATTTATATATTCACCTAAGTCTGTATGGCCTTTTGTGTTGCATATAAATTAGACAGTAGTTACTTCATTAATCAAAGTCTAACACATCCGTGTCCGACAATACGCTACAACGTATTTTCGATTTAACGCATACAATACTGAAAAGTAAGTGGATATCTACTCACCTCGTTTCAAGAATGAAAGACGATACTGGGAGAATATCGGAAAGCACCACATTAAACTTTAGATATGACTTAGGGTAAAATCTAAGACTATTTGAACCAATTAATTTTATATCAAAGTTAATCTTTTTAAGACCTCTTTTAGATAACGCTGACCATGCACAAAATAAATACATCTTAGCAGTAGAACTGTTTTTGTTATCAATGACCGATGCACCACATTCGATATGATGAACATTCTGTTGTCTCCCATTTGTAATTCTGAATTGACAATTGATCGATACATACAGAGATTTTTTTTATATGCATAGTCATTCTAAAATTGTCTTTCTCATTTGATAAACATTATAATTATAAATAAATCAAAGTCAACAACTCTCTTTATTTTGGCTGCAATATTTGTGCGTGCAGTTTTCCAGTTTTAATCAGCCTATTACCATTCAAACTCTGGCTTTTACAAATCTAGAAAAACAGGGATTAAATTGTAAATGTTCAACATAAAACATAGTGTACTTGATATTTTCATTACAAAGAAGTTACGAACTGATAACAGTAAAACGCACAGAACAATCATTAAAAGAACAACTATTTATTAACGAAAGGACCTACATGTAAATGTAGAAAAATTCATAATTTGATCCTAATAACTACCGGGTAGTATTAACGATATTATAATATTATTAATGTTTAAATATACTTTTTCACTTTTTTCGTCTTTTGGAAAATGTTGTTTGTGCTGTATTTAGACCCCTCTACCAAGAAATTTGTTTTGCATGCACACGTATAAAAATTGCGGTTTTTATCCAACGCATTCATAGTTTTGAACGTTGTTTTCAATTTAAACTTATTTATATTTTTTTCGTTTGGGCTTGTATTATATTTGTCTTCGGGTTTATATGATCCGTTCATTCTATTTCGACTCTTCAAAATTCAAGAAAATCCGATTATGGTGTACAAATTTTTGCACCTCATGTTTGCGGTATACCATCTTTTCCGCAAGTTTATTGTTTTCTGTAGGTATTAAATTAATATAAAGATCCATTTTGTTACATCTTGTGATCCGTTTATTTGGCAATCGCCAATGGCAGTCAGCAAGGTTTAAGAACATCCGTTGTTCGACCTGTTAGTCAAATGCGTTTTGTTTAAATATACTTTTTCACTTTTTTGGTCTTTTGGAAAATGTTGTTTGTGCTGTATTTAGACCCCTCTACCAAGAAATTTGTTTTGCATGCACACGTATAAAAATTGCGGTTTTTATCCAACGCAATCATAGGTTTGAACGTTGTTTTCAATTTAGACTTGAATATATATATCTTTGCACCTTTGTTTGCGGTATACCATCTTTGTCGCAAGTTTATTGTTTTCTGTTTGGTATTAAATTTTTAATTAAGATCCATTTATTACACCTTGTGATCCGTTTATTTGGCAATCGCCAATGGCAGTCAGCAGGGTTTAAGAAAATTTGTTGTTCGACCTGTTAGTCAAATGCGTTTTGTTAAAATATACTTTTTCACTTTTTTGGTCTTTTGGAAAATGTTGTTTGTGCTGTATTTAGACCCCTCTAACAAGAAATTTGTTTTTGCATGCACACGTATAAAAATTGCGGTTTTTATCCAACGCAATCATAGGTTTGAACGTTGTTTTTAATTTAGACTTGTTTATATTTTTTCGTTTGGGCTTGTATTATATTTGCCTTCGGGTTTAGATGATCCGTTCATCCTAATTTGACTCCTCAAAATTCGAGAGTCTATCCTAAATTGAGGTAAATTACACGGCCTTCCAAATACTGTTTCGATTCCCAACATCACTGAACAGACATTAATTGTCGAAATCCGGATATGGTGTACAAAAATCTTTGCACCTTTGTTTGCGGTATACCATCTTTGCCGCAAGTTTATTGTTTTCTGTTTGGTATTAAATTTTTAATTCAGATCCATTTATTACACCTTGTGATCCGTTTATTTGGCAATCGCCAATGGCAGTCAGTAGGGTTTAAGAACATTTGTTGTTCGACCTGTTAGTCTAATGCGTTTTGTTAAAATATACTTTTTCACTTTTTTGGTCTTTTGGAAAATGTTGTTTGTGCTGTATTTAGACCCCTCTAACAAGAAAATTGTTTTTGCATGCACACGTATAAAAATTGCGGTTTTTATCCAACGCAATCATAGGTTTGAACGTTGTTTTCAATTTAGACTTGTTTATATTTTTTCGTTTGGGCTTGTATTATATTTGCCTTCAGGTGTATATGATCCGTTCATCCTAATTTGACTCCTCAAAATTCGAGAGTCTATCCTAAATTGAGGTAAATTACACGGCCTTCCAAATACTGTTTCGATTCCTAACATCACTGAAGAGACATTAATTGTCGAAATCCGGATATGGTGTACAAAAATCTTTGCACCTTTGTTTGCGGTATACCATTTTTGCCGCAAGTTTATTGTTTTCTGTTTGGTATTAAATTTTTAATTAAGATCCATTTATTACACCTTGTGATCCGTTTATTTGGCAATCGCCAATGGCAGTCAGCAGGGTTTAAGAACATTTGTTGTTCGACCTGTTAGTCAAATGCGTTTTGTTAAAATATACTTTTTCACTTTTTTGGTCTTTTAGAAAATGTTGTTTGTGCTGTATTTAGACCCCTCTAACAAGAAATTTGTTTTTGCATGCACACGTATAAAAATTGCGGTTTTTATCCAACGCAATCATAGGTTTGAACGTTGTTTTCAATTTAGACTTGTTTATATTTTTTCGTTTGGGCTTGTATTATATTTGCCTTCGGGTTTATATGATCCGTTCATCCTAATTTGACTCCTCAAAATTCGAGAGTCTATCCTAAATTGAGGTAAATTACACGGCCTTCCAAATACTGTTTCGATTCCTAACATCACTGAAGAGACATTAATTGTCGAAATCCGGATATGGTGTACAAAAATCTTTGCACCTTTGTTTGCGGTATACCATCTTTGCTGCAAGTTTATTGTTTTCTGTTTGGTATTAGATTTTTAATTAAGATCCATTTATTACACCTTGTGATCAGTTTATTTGGCAATCGCCAATGGCAGTCAGCAGGGTTTAAGAACATTTGTTGTTCGACCTGTTAGTCAAATGCGTTTTGTTAAAATATACTTTTTCACTTTTTTGGTCTTTTGGAAAATGTTGTTTTTGCTGTATTTAGACCCCTCTAACAAGAATTTGTTTTTGCATGCACACGTATAAAAATTGCGGTATTTATCCAACGCAATCATAGGTTTGAACGTTGTTTTCAATTTAGACTTGTTTATATTTTTTCGTTTGGGCTTGTATTATATTTGCCTTCGGGTTTATATGATCCGTTCATCCTAATTTGACTCCTCAAAATTCGAGAGTCTATCCTAAATTGAGGTAAATTACACGGCCTTCCAAATACTGTTTCGATTCCTAAGATCACCGAAGAGACATTAATTGTCGAAATCCGGATATGGTGTACAAAAATCTTTGCACCTTTGTTTGCGGTATACCATCTTTGCCGCAAGTTTATTGTTTTCTGTTTGGTATTAAATTTTTAATTCAGATTCATTTATTACACCTTGTGATCCGTTTATTTGGCAATCGCCAATGGCAGTCAGTAGGGTTTAAGAACATTTGTTGTTCGACCTGTTAGTCAAATGCGTTTTGTTAAAATATACTTTTTCACTTTTTTGGTCTTTTGGAAAATGTTGTTTGTGCTGTATTTAGACCCCTCTAACAAGAAAATTGTTTTTGCATGAACACGTATAAAAATTGCGGTTTTTATCCAACGCAATCATAGGTTTGAACGTTGTTTTCAATTTAGACTTGTATATATATATATAGTCTCTCTAATGTTAATTATTGTTGACGCGTTTATTTATTTACTCAGTATATCAGGGACTTGTACGTATAGTTTTTCAAATATTAGAGATTGTTGACGTGTTCATTTATTTATTCAGTATATCAAACAGACTCATACATATAGTATCTCCAATGTAAGATATTAATGACGTGTTTATTTATTTATTCAGTATATCAGACAGACTTATACATATAGTCTCTCCAACGTTAGATATTGTTGACGTGTTTATTTATTTATTCAGTATATCAGACAGACTTATACATATAGTCTCTCCAACGTTAGATATTGTTGACATGTTTATTTTTTTATTCAGTATATCATACAGACTTATACATATAGTCTCTCCAACGTTAGATATTGTTGACGTGTTTATCTATTTATTCAGTATATCAGACATAGATATTGTTTACGTGTTTATTAATTTATTCCGTACATCAGACAGACTTATACATGTATTATCTCCAATGTTAGATATTGTTGACGTGTTTATTTATTTATTCCGTACATCAGACAGACTTATACATGTATTATATCCAATGTTAGATATTGTTTCAGCAGCGCCTGCATACGTAGCATATATCTCTCAGTTGATACGATATTACAGGCTTGTATATACTTTCAAATATTCCTGACAGAGGGTTGCTGCTCAAACGAAAAAAAAAGTAAAATAACAAAAATACCGAACTCCATACTTCTAGATATTATATATTTGAATACATTTGAGTACATTTCATATTGTTTTGTGTGGCAGCAATTTTCACTCTATATATTGTTCATGCGGCAGTAATTTTCACTTTAAAAATGTATTTATATTGTTTCGAACTACAAGGGAAATTCAAAACGGAAAGTCCCTTATCAAATGGCAAAATAAAAAGCTCAAACACATCACACGAATGGAAATCAACTGTCATATTCCTAACTTGGTACAGGCATTTCCTTATGTAGAAAAAGGTGGATTAAACGACTTAAAATTCCATAATATTGACAACAATATGTGAACGTAGTAAACAGACATAATAGGAAAAATATATTAAAAATAAGGGTACAGCAGTCAATATTGTGTTACAATCTTAATCACTATAAAACAAACAAATATGTCGACAAAGAAAAACAAAATGACATATAGACAAAAACAGCTATTAGATCAAGAGTTGGTGAAGTTGAAATTATCCCTTCGTAAAATTGTCGTTACTTCAATACCGTTCCCTTTTTCCCTTTTCCCCTAATTATAATGTGACCTACCGAATTAGAATTATCACCGGATTTGCAATTACATGAGCAACACGACGGGTGCCACATGTGGAGCAGGATCTGCGTACCCTTCGGGCTTACATGAGATCACCCCAAGTTTTTGGTGGGGTTCGTGTTGCTCAGGTTTAAGTTCTCGATCTTGTGTTCTGTTTACTATTGTTTGTCTGTTTGTCTTTTTCTTTTTTAACCAAGGCGTTGTCAGTTTATTTTCGACTTATGAGTTTGAATATTCCTTTGGTATCTTTTGCCTCTCTTTGAAGTTTTTATTTATTTATTGAGTATATTAGAAAGATTTATAAATATAGTCTCTCCAATATTAGATATTGAGTGACGTGTTTATTTATTTATTCAGTTTATCAGACAGACTCATACATATAGTCTCTCCAATGTTGGATATTGTTGACGTGTTTATTTATTTATTCAGTATATCAGACCGATATATACAAACAACAGAGGATAGAATAGGAAGTGTTTATAAGAAAGTGATGTTAAAGCAGTTCACTGATGGTTTCTTCCAAAGGGAGATAAAACCAGCACCATGGATGGGATATGTTGGGCCTACAATTAAAGGAGAAACTGGTGATGTGTTGTATGTTCACTTCCGGAACTTAGCATCAAGGCCTTATGGACTTCATCCTCACGGTGTACAATACTTTAAAGACAGCGAAGGTACTTCATCTCAGGTCTCATAATGTTTTGCTAATAAATATGTATTTAGTGTACATTATATAGTAATAATTTCTGGATAATAATAATTATGAAAGGAGATGCGGTGTAGAACATTTAACTCAACGACACAAACTACTAACATATAGGTCGGAACATACGGTCCTGCATTATAAGGTGTGTATGGAAATAAAGAAGAAATAGACATTAAATGATTTTAACATGAGATATTTGAGGATGCCGAATGTATGGATATCCTATATATATAGTTTTTGTGCCGTACACTGTATCTTCCTTATTTATTTCAATCAAAAATATATGTATAACACAATTCGTCTCAATTTACATAAATTAAACATTTACAATGGTATTTACATAAATCAAACATTCACAATGGTAATTTACATAAATCAAACATTCACAATTATTACGGTAATTTACATAAATCAAACATTTACAATGGTAATTTACATAAATCAAACATTCACAATGGTAATTTACATAAATCAAATATTCACAATTATGGCAATTTACATAAATCAAACATTCACATTTATTATGGTAATTTACATAAATCAAACATTTACAATGGTAATTTACATAAGTCAAGCATTCACAATGGTAATTTTTTTAACGTTTGAGTAAGATTACAAAATGCTGCATATGATCTGTGTATGATATCTCATTGAGTTATGTTGATACAAAGTGGCATATACCAAATGCTGAATATGGTCTATATATAATTGTTTTTTGTTAATTTTTTTGTACATGAATTAGGCCGTTAGTTTTCTCCTTTGAATTGTTTTACATTTGTCATTTAGGGGCCTTTTATAGCTGACTATGCGGCATGGGCTTTGATCGGTGTTGAAGGCCGTACGGTGACATATAGTTGTTAATGTTTGTATCATTTAGTCTCTTGTGGAGAGTTGTCTAATTGGCAATCATATCACATCTTCTTATTTTTATGTGTATACTATCTCATTGAGTTATGTTGATACAATTTAGGATTTAGGTGTCAAACATTATCACCCAATCTAGGATGTAGGGGATCAAACATTATCATCCAATCTAGGATGTAGGGGATCAAACATTATCATCCAATCTAGGATTTAGGGGTCAAACATTATCATCCAATCTAGGATGTACGGGATCAAACATTATCATCCAATCCAGGATGTAGGGGATAAAACATTATCATCCAATTTAGGATGTAGGGGAGCAAACATTATCATCCAATCTAGGATGTAGGGAAGCAAACATTATCACCCAATCTAGGATTAAGGAGTCAAACATTATCATCCAACCTGGGATTTAGGGGGTCCAAATTGGCCATTACCGTAACTCGTTCCTCAAATAAATTTCCCTGGGCAATTTTTGAATAAGAAAAACGGAATTCTAACATGTTTGTAAATCGTTTGATTGATAAATGATTGGTTCAGTGGCAAATATTCCTGCATGTTCAGGGCGACTGATGGTAAGGATGGAAAAAAAAAGAATGGAGTTTGATATTCATAAATGTACATACATTCTACAGTTAATAATCATGCTAGTACAGATGTATTATTTGTTTGTTGAATAGGATCGTTGTACATGGATGGCACTTCCGGTAGAGATAAGTTAGATGATGCTGTACCACCAGGACAGACGTATACATACAGATGGTTCATGCAAAATACGTTTGCCCCAACAAAAGATGATGAGAACTGTATCCCTGTTGGCTACCATCCACATATCAGATCAACAAAAGACGTCGATACTGGGTTGATTGGGATCTTATTGATATGTAAACCTGGTAAGATTGTATACCATAAAAGCTCGGTGTCAGCAAGTAAATGTATTCATATCTGGTAAGTAATCTTGGTGTCATCAAGTAAATGTATTCATATATGGTAAGAATATCACACACGGTGTACAATCTTAATCTTTTCACTAACGTGTTCGCCTTTGCACGGTGTTGAGGATACCACTTTTACTGAAGAACAGATTTCAAATGCTTCTTTGTATTTATTTTTTTTTTGTCAAATGCGATTCGGGATTTTCTGAAACAAATAATACTAATACACCATATTCTACCTTTTCCGTTACTTGCATCATTTTTTATTATTACTAAATTACTCAACTGTCAGGGTATATTTTTCGTGATCAATAAATAAATAGAATAAATATTCATACGAAACAAGACAAAAAACAAAAAGGACAAAAAAAAAAAAAAAAAAATAGAAAATAAGAAATAAAATTATAAGAGGACGTTTACTTTTTCTAGACTTTCAGACTGAAGTTTCTTTCAGAAGTCAGCCCCTCCCTAACACTTTTTGAGTCTACTCCTATGCCTCTGAATGTGTCTTTTACGGCATATTTTGTTAATAGTGATCAAAAAAGGTAAAACATGCTACAGAGGAACAAGTCATCAGTATGCTGGAGTTAATATTGTTGAATTTGGAGGAAGACTTTTTCAACAAATTGTCGGTATTCGTAGGGGAAGGAACTGTGCGCCTCTCCTTGTCGACCTCTTCTTATTTTCTTATGAGTCGGAGTTCCTTCAGACACTTGTCAAAAAAAAAGATAAAAAAGCAAGATCATTTAATTTCACATTCAGATATATTGATGATGTTCTTTCCATTTACTATCCAAAATATTCTGGTTGGATTCCAATAATATATCTTCAAGAACCAGAAATTGAAGAAACAACAGACACGGCTTCCTCTGCCTCATCATATATCCCAGTGAATTTGAAATTAAGGATACTACTGATACTAGGAGGACTGCTTCATACCTTGATCTTTTACTCAATAATGACACAGATGGACGACTTCAAACTAAAATCTATGACAAAAGGACGATTTCAACTTCCCAATTATCAATTTCCCATTTCTCAACAGTAACATAGTATGGTGTTTACATATCTCAGTTGATACGTTATGGTCGTGCATGTTCACACTATACGGACATTATATACGCAGAAACTGCTCCAACAGAGTTATGGGGAGGACTCCGTAAGTTTTATGGACACCATCACGAATTGGTTGATCTATACGATATGTCTGTGTCTAAACTAACCAACGACATTTTACCACGTCTTAGATTGTGGTTTACCATCTACGTCGTCTGGTCTTCTAATTACCGAAAGTGACCTATTCCCGAATATGAGTGTTTTGCTGCGTGTAAATTCGCATTGCAATTAGACGTGTCTCGGTATTTGTACATCCAACATTCATGTATTTAGTTATGATGTTCCATTTGTAATTCTGGTTTTTTCATTATGTATGTAAAAGTAAAGATATTATTCACCTAGTTCATTTATAAGATTTTTAGGTTAAAAGCACAGGATTCATTTGTTTTTTTACAGTTTGATTTAGAAGAAAAACCATAGTTGAAAATTCAAATAATTACACCATTACTAACACAGTTCTACATTAATATTCTGGTAATGGTTAGAAAATACATCAAATAACACCATTACATACTTAATCCCAATTTCATATTGTATTTTTAGAAATTTACCCGTGACGTCACTTTTTGTGGCGTTGATACATTCGTGGGACTCATAGTTCATTATTCTATTGTGCTGTATTTGTGTTCTTTCGTAAATTAATTTAAGGTGTTTGTTGTTATTCTGTGGTTTACATGTTGAAATGGACTATTATTTTATTTATTTATGTATTTCTCTGTCCTGAAAGTTTATTTGTACTTAATTCCTGTCACGTAATTTTGTCATTTTAGCGGGATTTTTTAACATTGGTATATAAGCGGAAGGTTTGGCTAGCTATAAAACTAGGTTCAACCCACCATTTTGTCTTAAAATGTCCTGTACCAAGTCAGGAATATGGCAAATATGGCAATTGTTGTCACATAGTCCGTTTTTATGTTTGTTGACGTTTGTTTTAGTAGCAGTTCAGTGTTTCTGCTGTTCCGTTTTGTTTCCTCTTATAGTTGATGTGTTTCCCTCAGTTTTGGTTTGTGACCCGGATTTGTTTCAGTTAAATCGATGTATGACAATTGAACAGCAGTATACCACTATTGCCTTTATTTAGACTTATACCTCAAATTTGACATAAGCGGTCATCTCAGTACCAGAATCTATGACAAACGAGACGATTTTGATTTTGAAATTATCAATTTCCCCCACCTTAGTAGCAATATACCAACTTCACCTGCATTTGGGATATACATTTCCCAACTCATTCGATATTCAAGAGCTTGCAGCTGCTACTCAAACTTTATAAAACGTCACCAGTGTCTGACCAGAAAGTTGATGAAGCAGGGTTATGTCAAAGAACGAGTCCTTTTCTAAAAATGTTCATGGGAGGATACCAAGACCTTGTTGATAAATATTCTGTATCAACTTCACAAATAATACATGATTGTCTTGAATTATAGATTCTAGGTGCTGACGTTGTATTTCATCTTAATTACGTGTTATAGTGTTCTTTTATTTGTCTTTGTAAATTATTAGCCTTTTACTATTTAGTCTTTTTTTGGTAATATCCTTTTGGCGTGGCTCGGTACTTATACATCCCGCCATTGTTTTATTGTGCTATGGTCTTTTTTGTATTCTTGTCTTTCGTTTTTGCTTATGTGCTTTGTCTATATGCCTTTTTGTTTTTCTTTGTTGACATATTTGGTTTTTTTTTTGTGATTAGAATTATAACACAATGTCGACTGCTTTACCCCTATTTTCGATTTTTTTCCCCCTATTATATCTGTTTGTTTTGTTCACACGTTGTTGTCAATATAATGGAATTATATGACACTGTAATATAAGTGAGAGGTTAAGCTAGCATAAGACCAGGTTTAATCCACCATTTTCTACAAAAGGAAATGCCTGTACCAAGTCAGGAATATGACAGTTGTTTTCCATTCGGTTGATGTGTTTTTTATTTTGCCATTTGATAAGGGACTTTCCGTTTTGAATTTCCCTTGTAGTTCCAAACAATATAAATACATTTTAAAGTGAATATTACTGCCTGAAAAACAATATAAATGTATATATACAGTGAAAATTGCTGCCACAGAAAACAAATTATGAATTATTACAATGAATGTATAATGTGGATACTACTGCCACACAAAACAATATTCAATGTATTCAAATATACAATATCTAGAAAGGTATGTACTTATCCTTACCTGCTATATGAGTACATGTATTGTTTATCTCACACTTACATGGCGTATTCTGAGTACATGTATTGTTTTCCTCACACTTACATGGCGTATTCAGAGTACATGTATTGTTTTCATCACACTTACATGGTGTATTCTAAGTAAAACTGAGAATGGAAACGGGGAATGTGTCAAAGAGACAACAACCCGACGAAAGAGCAGAAAACAGCCCAAGGCCACCAATGGGTCTTCAACACAGCGAGAAAATCCCACACCCGGATGCGGGCTTCAGCTGGCCCCTAAACAAAAATGTGTACTAGTTCAGCAAAATAGACGTCACATTAATCTCCGAAACATATAAATGAACCAAAATTTAAAAAAAGCCCATGTATTGTTTTCCCCACACTTACTTGATGTATTTAGAGTAGATGTACTGTTTTCATCACACCTACATGATGTATTCAGAATACATGTACTGTTGTCATTACACCTACATGGTGTATTAAGAGTACATGTATTGTTTTCATCACAATTGCATGGTGCATTCTAAGTACATAGATTGTTTTCCTCACACTTACATGAAGTATTCAGAGTACATATACTGTTTTCATCCCACCTACATAGTGTATTCAGAGTACATGTATTGTTTTCATCACACTTGCATGGTGTATTAAGAGTACATATTTTGTTTTCCTCACACATACATGATGTATGCAGAGTACATACATGTATTGTTTTCCTCACACATGCATTGTTTTCCTCACACTTGCATGATGTATTCAGAGTAGCAAAACTGTCAGACGACATCTCATAGGAGTTATTGCCCTTAAATGACAAATTTTACCACTTTTTTCATTTTTGCCAATTATCTTGAAAACTATAATAGATATAGATAATCTAACAAATAATCAGCCAGACAAAATCTATAAGTAAGTTTGCATTGTTGAAATCGTCAGTCGACTCCTTATTGGAGTAATTGACTTTGATGACGATTTTTACCATTTTGTTTGCGTTTTTGCCTTATATCTTAAAAATTATAATAGATAAATAGACACTTTAAGTCACAAAAATGTAAGCAAGGCTGGAACTAATAAAAATGCGGTAAACCAACACCTTTCTTATAGCTTTCAAAATTACTGCAGTGATGATTGAGTAAAACATTAACACATGACATATACATGACAGGAACATTGAATCCAGATAAATCTAGGAAGGATGTTGACAGAGAGTTTGTTCTGTATGCCGATATCATCAATGAAACTAATAGTTGGTTGATAGACCAGAGCTTAAATCTATGTCGAAATCCACAACGCTGTCGACAACTTTTCGACCAGAAAAATGTGCCTTTCATTTCGGACACGTTAATGTATTCGGTAAGTTTCGAATAACCGAATACCATAATATGTATCAATTATAGATGAAACGTAGTAACCGTTATGAGATTTTGGTAAGATGCTTTTATATATCTTTTTATAACTATTATTATTATTATCACCATATACTTAAAATTAACTATTTCTCGGGAAAAACGTTTTAACACAGTTGGTGTTGATAGTATGCTTTTGATCCGTCAATTAAGAAATGTTCGCGTGAGTAGGCGGAGCTTAACGCATTTGTCGTTTGCATCCCCAAAGGTCAAACATTTAATAGTCTCATCCTTGGTGAATTTTTTTTAATAATTCAATAATTTTATTTCGGTGTAATGCTATTTTTCAAATAGTGGACATTTTGATATTAATGTAAACACTGATTTGGTTGAGTCTTGACTGTCAGTACATGTGCATAACATGAAACGTTTTGTGTTGAGAATTGACTTTAAGAAATATAAGCCTCAGTTGAAAACAACACATTTTGTCAACATTATTCCTTAACTATAATTATAATAATTGTATAATATCATTCATCATTTGTTTTTGGTCTTTATTTTTAAGATTGTTTTTAGTGAGTAACTGCTTATTGGAGCCTCTAATCTTATTAAATAATAAAAAAAATATTTGTTAGAGATCAGTTTCAAAAATCAAAGTGATAAATATATTGACTTGATTATCATAACATCCAATGTGTAAAAACATGTAATAGACTCGATTTGTTTTTAATTATTTGGTTCTTTAAAGAGTTTTTAATATTTCTAGATAAACGGGTATATTTATGGAAATATGCCTGACTTCCCAATATATGAAGGAGAGAAGGTAGCATTTTATGCCATGGGATTAAACTTGGGACTACATGTCTTTGGTGTACAAGGACAGTCATTTAAGTTTAAGCGTACAAGGTCTGTTACTTTTATATATTTTTATTTATAATAATAGGTGAACAAATACCGCGCCAACTGCTTAAAGGAGAATAATTTTCTCTTTAATAGTCTTTTATTTGGTTCACAGTTTTTGGACGATTCACACCGTGACATATTTTGAAGACACTTGTTGATATTCAGTAATAATACGGATCAGCTACTAGACATTTCCTTAGGTTATCATTTGGATTTCTATAGTGCTATCAATTTCCATTTTCTCGAAACCGCAAGGAAAATTTTCTAGTGGTACCATTTGCTTTCTTTAGTGTTAGTAACTTAAACTGTGTCGGAACCGCAACAAGAAGTTCCCTTAAGGTATCATTAACCTTTTTATAATGTTATCAACTTCCACTGTGTAGGAACCGCTACAAGACATTCCCTAAAGGTATTTTCTTCCTTTTTATAGTGTTTTTAACTGCCATTGAGTCGGAACAGTCACAAGACATTCCTTAAGGGTATCTTTTTTCCTTGCTATAGTGTTATTAATTTCCACTGTGTCGAAACCACCACAAGACATTCCCAAAGGGTATCTTCTTCCTTTCTATAGTGTTATTAACTTCCACTGTGTCGGATCCAATACAAGACGTTCCCTAATGGTATCTTTTTCCTTTTTATAGTGTAATTAACTTCCACTGTGTCGGTACAGCTACAAGACGTTCCCAACGGGAATCTTCTTCCTTTCTATAGTGTTATCAACTTCCACTGTGTCGGAACCGCTACAAGATGTTCCTTAATGGTATCTTCTTCCTTTTTATAGTGTTATTAACTTCCACTGTATCAGAACCGCTACAACATTTTACAAGATGTTCACTAAAGATATCGTTTTAGATAAGAAGACGTGGTATGAATGCCAATGAAACAACTTTCCACCAAGGTCACAATGTATAAAAAGTTAACAATTATAGGTTAAAATACGGCCTTCAACACGGAGCCTTGGCTCACACCGAAGCCATAAAGGGCCCAAAAATTACTAGTGTAAAACAATTCAAACAGGAAAACGAACGGTCTAATCTATATTAAAAACGAGGAACGAGAAGCAGCTATGAACCACACTTACAAACGACAACCACTGAACAACAGACTCCTGACTTAAGACCGGTGCATAAAAATGCAGCGGGTTTAAACGTTTTAATAGGTGCCAACCTTCACCCTAACCTGAGACAGTAGTGTAACATTACAACATAAAAAACACACTATAAAATATCAATTAACCTATCTAAATAGTTATTAACTTTCACTGTGTATATAAAGTTACATGACGACCCCTAAAGGTATCAGTTGCCTTTCTATAGTTTTATTAACTTCCACAAGTGTATCAAATCCCCCATCTTTATTGTTATTAACTTCCACTCTTGCCAGAACCGTTACCAGACGTTCCTACTGGGAATATTTTGCCTTTCTGAGTGTTATTAACTTCCACTGTGTCGAAATTGCTACGGCACGTTCTTTAAGGGTATCAATTCCACTGTCAGCACTGTTATAAGACGTTCCCTTAGGGTATCATTAACCTTTCTATACTGGTATCAGCTTCCACTATATCGAAACCGCTACAGGACGTTTCCCTAGGGTTTCATTAACCTTTTTATAGTGTTATTTATTCCCATAGTTTCGAAACCGCTACAGGACGTTCCCTAGGGGTATCATTAAACTTTTTAAAGTGTTATTATCTCCAACTGTGTCGGAACCTCTACTTGACGTTCCCTAAGGGAATCATGAACCTTTCTATAGTGTTATATGAACTTCCACTGTGTCGGAACCGCCACAAGATGTTCCCTAAGGGTATCATTAACCTTTCTTTACTGATATCAACTTCCACTATATCGGAACCGCTACAGGACGTTCCCTAAGGGTTTCATTAACCTTTTTATAATGTTGTTAACTACCACTGTGTCGGAACCGCTACAAGCCGTACCCTAAGGGTATTATTAACCTTTTCATAGTGTTAATAACTTCCACTGTGTCAGTACTACTACAACCGGTTCCCTTAGGAAATCATTTACCTTTTTATAGTGTTATTATTTTCCACTGTATCGGAACCAATACTTGACATTCCCTAAGGTGATTAGGGACTTTCCGATTGAATTTTCCTCGGAGTTCAGTATTTTTATGATTTTACTTTTTTCATTAACCTTTTTATAGTGTTTTTATCGTCCACTGTATCGGAACCACTTTTTGACGTTCCCTATGGGTATCAATAACCTTTCTATATTAGTATCAGCTTCCATTGTATCGGAACAGCTACAGGACGTTCCCTAAGAGTTGCATTATCTTTTTTATAGTCTTATTTACTCCAACAGTTTCGAAACCGCTACAAGACGATAACTAGGGGTACTATTAACCTTTTTATAGTGTTATTAACTTCAACTGTGTCAGAACCACTACTTGACGTTCCCTAAGGGTTTCATTAATCTTTCTTTCCTGATATCAACTTCCACTATATCATAACCGCTACATGACGTTCCATTAGGGTTTCATTAACCTTTTTATAGTGTTATTCACTCCCATAGTTTCGAAACCGCTACAAGACGTTCCCTAGGGGTACCATTGAACTTTATATGGTGTTATAAACTCCCATTGTGTCGGAACCACTATTTGACGTTCCCTAAGGGTATGGCATGGTATTGGTTGCAAAAATTTGATATTTTTCATTTAAATGCAATATTTCTTATTTAATTGGTATATTTCTTCATTTAAATGCAATATATTTTTATTTGAATGGTATATTTTTTCTTTAAATGCAATATTTTTATTCAGATGGTATAATTTTTCATTCAAATGGTATAATTTTTCATTCAAATGGTATAATTTTCGTTCAAATGCAATATTTTTTATTCAATTGGTATAAAATGTCATTTGAATACAATATTTTTTATTCAATTGGTATAGTAGTTTTTTTTATTTATATGCAATAATTGCATTATGGGAAATTCTTTGACGTCATAAGGTCAAATTTACAACAACGTTTGTGATTGGTCGGTAATTGTTTGGATTTCTCCCCTTTCTTTCTAAACTTGAGTGACCAAGAATTAAAAAACGCGTCAGAATATCGCCCCTCTAACTAAATTTGGCGTTCGTGCGAGTTCGTGCACTGGCTGTTAATGCCAATAATGGCCAGGACGAGCAAAAAATGCGAAAGACAAGTAATGATAATTGATTTGACACACAACTTGTTCATGGATAGAAACAGATGCCTGCGTGCATGGCAAAAACACCTCCAATGAAAACCTTTTCTGAAGAAACTCTCCTACAGTCTACACATTGAAATAAAAAAAATACATAGCTAGCCGCCCTCCCCCTTCTAAGTCCAGATACATGTAATCATGACGTTCTTTAGTAATGTGCTATATCATTTTTTACTTTTCTTGATCCTCAAAGACGTTGCAGGAAGGCACACATGAAAAAAGAATGAAAAGCATCCAGGACGTTACAATTATTTGGACTAAACCCCCTCTTTTGTACTACATGTAATCACCTAATTACGACAGCAGAACCAGAAACCCACAAGTAGAGACATAAGCTGTTATACTCCGGAACTAATTCTTTAATAAAAACAATTCAGGATAAATTGGAACCAGTTACTAACCCATGTTACAACAATAGTCCCATGACATAGGACTTCACTATATGAGGCGTGAACTTCATATTTAATACTATCTATAATATGTGCACTCATGTCTTATGCTGCAAATCATTTTACATTTAGAATTCGTTGCTGAGCTTTTTTTTACTGTTCTCGTCTCCGAATCCCTTAAATAGATTTTTTCAAGCCCCACAGCAATTCAATAATTACTATATGTCTTTGCATAAATAAGTATGCAGGGCATATTTCAAAACATACTTTATCTTCAGGACTTTTAAATGATTTACTTTTCAAGGGGGGTATACAAGTTTATTTTGTGACACATTATATAATATAATTAGTTATCCAACAAATTATATGATTGTACGTTTAGCTATTATCTAGACCCGTACAAAATGTATATAATTAGACACGTTTAACAGGGGCGGATCCAAAACCTCGGTGTCTAGATGGGGGGAGTAGGTTCAAATTTAGATATTTGTATAGAGATGTGTATACTAGTATGCGAGTATTGGCAGTAATGGTTATGGTGTGTGTGTGAGGGTAGGTGTTTCAGATCAAAGATCGTTTCTATAATTCTAAATCTTTTAGTTTTTACCATTTCACTCTATTCTTTATCTTTTGATCTCTACTATATTTGTCCTAAACATGTTTTTTTTTGTTCTTCGGAAGTGAGCCAGAAGAAGTCCATTTCTGTTTTTTTTTTGCATTGGGAAGATCTTCTGGCTCTCTTCCACCTCTTCTTTTTTGATAGGTTGACGGCAGAGGCACATAACAAACATGGCGTCGTTTAGTCTAAATGAAATTAATAAATTTATGAATGCAGATATATTAGAATGTGAGCTGTTTTATAAACGTTTTTATGGTATGACAGCCTTAGTAGGAATCACTGTGGGACGATAAGCTGGATAAATATAAGAACTACACGGACAATAACAGTTAAGGGACGATTATTTGATATTCTAGGGAAGGGATTTTGATTGATTGGTGTGTAACGTTACTTTCAACACTATTGGGCTATTCCGTGGTGGTCAGTTTAAATTTATAGATGAAGGATGGGGAAGGGAAGAGAGGGCATTATTATTCATTTCAATCTGTCGTTAATCATGCCTATTTTTCAGCTCTTACCAGGTAACCATATTCATATATGAAATCCTTCTGTCCCCTATCCCAACAAATAAATAAATATCAAATGGTTTTCCTCTTATTTAACACAAGTTTAAATTGATTGATTGTTTGTTGCTAATTTTAACGCCCAGTGAAAATTATTTCATGCTTGTTCAGGAAAACACGAGTTTAGAAGTCACGTATATAATATAAAAATGAAGAGATGGAATATGATTGCTAATAAGGCAACTATCCACCGGAGTTCAAATATGAAGTGGATGTAAGCAATTATAGATAAGATAAGAAAAGATAAGAAAAATTTATTTTAAGTCGGGTTACATGAAATACTACAAACATAAGCTATGTAGAGCTTTTTGCCGTCATGTAGACAAATGCTTTTTGTAGACAATCGTAAGGCCTTCAACAATGACAAAAACCTGATACTGTAAAGTCGTCTATAAAAGGCCCGACATGAAAAGTGTGAACAATTCAAACGAAAAAACTAACAGCCTAATTATACATAACAAAACAATTTACAAAATATCAAATATGAGTCGAGACAGGAACCAACGACAACCACTAAACTACAGGCTCCATCCCTGGGACAGGCAAATAAAGAATATGGCAGGGTGGATATAAAAACGAAGATGTGGTATGATTGCAAATGAGACAACTCTCCACAAGAGATCAAATGACACAGAAATCAACAGCTATAAGTCACCGTACGGCCTTCGACAATAAGAAAAGCCTACACCGCATAGTCAGCTATAAAAGGCCCCGAAATCAAAAATATAAAACAATTCAATCGAGAAAACTAACGGCCGAATTAATGTACAAAAAAATGAACGAAACACAAATATGTATAACAAAGCAACAAACGGCAACCACTGAATTACAGGCTCCTGACTTGGGACAAGCACATACATACAGAATGTGGCGGGGTTAAACATGTTAGCGGGATCCCAATCCTCCCCCTAATCTGGGACAGCGGTGTAACAGTACAACAACATGTTTGTGAGCAACCCATCCCGAAGCGGGAACAGTGGTGTAACAGTACAATAAAATAGCAACCTTCACAAATCAGCAAATTAACTCAAAAGATCGGTACGAAACACACAAAAAAACTAACATTAAGACAATAGACACAAAGCACCGACATAAGATTATTTGCAATTACTGGAAGTTTGCTCAAACCTAATTACAACATTTAATGAAATAAATCTTGTTCTCCCAGACTGAGTTATCAATCAGTACACAACGCGCGGCAAAGGATTTATTAAAAAAGAAAACAGTCTGAGAAACGTCTGGTTTACGTTGTATATAGATATAAGAAGATGTGGTATGAGTGCCGATGAGACAACTCTCCATCCAAGTCATTATTTGTAAATGTAAACCATTGAAGGTCAACGTACGGTCTTCAACACGAAGCCTTGGCTCAAACCGAACAGCAAGCTATAAAGGGCCTCCAAAAAATAGTAGTGTAAAACAATTCAAACGGGAAAACCAACGGTGTCTAATCTATCTAAAAAAACCGATATACTTGCATATAAATCCATATACAATGAAACTGTTTTTTAAAAGTGGACCGAACGTTTTGACCATCAAAATTTTGCAATAGAAATACTAGTTATGACCACAAGATTTTAACAGCCAGTGCAGGACTCGCACGAACGTTAGATTTAGTTAGAGGGGCGATATTCTGACGCGTTTTTTTAATTCTTGGTCACCCATGTTTAGAAAGAAAGGGGAGAAATCCAAACAATTTCCGACCAATCACAAACGTTGTTGCAAATTTGACCTTATGACGTCAAAGAATTTCCCACAATGCAATTATTGCATAAAAATTAAAAAACTACTATACCAATTGAATAAAAATATTGCATTCAAATGACATTTTATACCAGTTGAATGAAAAATATTGCATTTGAACGAAAATTATACCATTTGAATGAAAAATTATACCATTTGAATGAAAAATTATACCATCTGAATAAAAAATATTGCATTTAAATGAAAAAATATACCATTCAAATAAAAAAATATTGCATTTAAATGAAGAAATATACCAATTAAATAAGAAATATTGCATTTAAATGAAAAATATCAAATTTTTGCAACCGATACCATGCCATATAAGGGTTACATGAACCTTTCTATAGTGTTATTAACTTCCACTGTGTCAGATCCGTCACAAGACGTTTCCTAAGGGTATCATAAACCTTTCTACAGTGTTATTAACTTCCACTGTGTCAGAACCACTACTTGACATTCCCTAAGGGTATCATTAACCTTTCTATAGTGTTAATAACTTTCACTGTGTCGGAACCGCAACAAGACGTTCAATAAAGTTATTATAAACCTTTCTACAGTGTTATTAACTTCTACTGTATCAGAACCACTACTTGACGTTCCCCATTGTGTCGGAACCGCTACAAGACGTTCCCTAAGGGTATTATTAACCTTTTAATAGTGTAAATAACTTCCACAGTGTCTGAACCGCTAAAGGCCCGTTCCCTGAGGAAATCATTTACCTTTTTATAGTGTTAATAACTTCCACTGTATCAGAACCACTTCTTGACGCTCCCTAAGGGTATCATTAACCTTTCTATACTGGTATCACTTTCAACTGTATCGGAACCGCTACAGGACGTTCCCTTAGGGTTTCATTAAACTTTATATAGTCTTATTTACTCCTACAGTTTCGAAACCGCTACAAGACGTTCCCTAGGGGTATCATTAACTTTTCTATAGCGTTATTGACTCCCACTGTGTTGGAACCACTTCTTGACGTTCCCTGAGGGTATATTGAACGGTTCTATAGTGTTATTAACTATCACTGTGTCAGATCCGCCACAAGACGTTCCCTAAGGGTATCATAAACCTTTCTACAGTGTTATTACTTCCGCTGTGTCAGAACCACTACTTGACATTCCCTAAGGGTATCATTAACATTTCTTTACTGATATCAACTTCCACTGTATAATAATCGCTAGAGTACGTTACCTTAGGGTTTTATTAACCTTTGTATAGTGTTGAGAACTCCCACTGTGTCGAAACCGCTACAAAGACGTTCCCTAAGGGTATCATTAACCTTTTTATATTAACTTCCACTGTGGCTGAACCGTTACAAGCCCGTTTCCTAAGGAAATAATTAACCTTTTTATGGTATTATTAATTTCCACTGTATCGGAACCACTACTAGACAGTCCCTCAGAGTTATAATAACCTTTCTACACTGTTATCAACTTCCACAGTATCGGAACCGTACAGGACGTTCCCTAAGGGTTTCATTTGCCTTTCTAGGGTGTTACAGTGGTCGTAAATTTTACGGACGCAATCACGAGCTGATTGACTGTTGTGAAATATCTGTTCCACAGATGACGACGTTCCCTCAGGTTTAAATTGCCTTTCTATAGTGTCATTAACTTCTACTGTGTTCGAACCACCACAAGACGTTCCCTAGGGTATTAATTGCTTTTAAATAGTGTTCACATCCACTGTTTCGTTACCGCTACAAGACTTTCCCATAGTGTACCAATTGCCTTTCTCTAGTGTTATTATTTTCTATTTATATTCACTTACTTATATGTATCATGTGACTTTCTGTTGTACTTTATTTACCTACAATGTGTAAGAACCGCTACTGTACTGTTCCTTAGGTGTCATTTGCCTTTTGTTGTACTTTATTTACTAACAATGAATAGGAATTTCTTAACGTTCCCTTAGGTATTGTACGTTATTAACTTTTTTACGTCTTCGAAATTTTATAACTTCCTTTCGTCTTTTCTTTTTCCTATAGTCATTGTGGTGTCTAGATAGATATAAGAAGATGTGGTATGAGTGCCAATGAGACAACTCTCCATCCAAGTAAAAATTTATTAAAGTAAACCATTATAGGTCAAAGTACGGTCTTCAACACGGAGCCTTGGCTCACACCGAACAGTAAGCTATAAACGGCCCCAAAAATTACTAGTGTTAAACCATTCAAACGGGAAAACCAACGGTCTAATCTATATAAAAAACGAGAAACGAGAAACACTTATGAACCAGATCAACAAACGACAACTACTGTCCATTACTGGCTTATGCTTGTTTTGTTACCTACCTAATATCTTCTAACTTTTTTCAGAACACATGCTGTTGTGTTTGGTATAGCACGGTTTGAAGGGTTATACATGACAGCCAGAAATCCTGGTAGATGGATGATATTTTGTAAAGTCAACTACCATTTTGATCGTGAGTCGTATATACGGTTATCCAGAATGTATACAGTACGCAACCATTACTGTAACAGTAATAAAATAGCAGATATATTTCAAGGTTACCTCGAAAAATGATAAATAATTATGCAGAACTCTGATTATATAGATTATAAAATTAGTACTGAATTCATAAGAATTCATATAGCGCATCTATGAACTTCGGCAAACTTATGTTTATAAAATCGAGCTGGATTAGAATGAGGATACCATAATATAGATAATTGCAAAATTCGCAAGTTGTAATTTTGGCGATCTGAACACTTGTCAAGTAATTATTTCAATTCTTCTTCCTTATTACAAAAGCATAATACGATAGTTTTAAGTAGAAGGATAGAGATGTATCGATTTATGTATAAAAACGTCAAATTAAAAACCAGACAAACTGTTAAAAGGGTTTTAACTGGATTGATAAGATAATATTTTAGTAAGAGAACACGATATATAATAATATAGATAATGAAGTAATCATACTTTTTTTGAAATAATAGATGGAATGGCAGCTTTTGTAAATGTGATGCCAAGACCAGGAGTATTGCCGCCAACTAAAATAAGAAGAACACGTCGTTATTTCATAGCTGTAGAAGAAATTGTATGGGATTACAGACCGTCTGGTAGAGTATTGGCGAGAGTTGGTAAAGGTTCAACTGAAAGATCAAAGTAAGCGTGCCTGGTGAAGAGTGTAGCCTTTTAGTGTAAAATAGAATATACATTGTATTTGGACCAAAAAACCTAGTATAGCTGTATTCAATTGAGAATTAGTTTCTTTCAATATTGTAGTTACCTGTTTGATTTATCAAGAAATAACATGAGAGGACATAAGTATATCAACTTGCGTTGAACAATTCTAGGTAGGTTCATCATTTATGGATTGTAAACACGATCAGTTAAGCATACTTTTAATTGTTTTAAACAAAGATTCAATGTAAATATAACTAAAGGATAGTGACGGGAGCCATCACTGAGGGCTCACTTTGCGTGAATAAATAAATTGTAATGCAATTATGATTATTTCACTACATATTAACAAGGTGTTTTAGTAAAACTAGCTTTTTGAGCATGATCATCAACGTACGATTTTCTTCTGTTCCTTTCATTAGTGGTGAATGATTATCCCGACTTCTAAGGGATTTTAACGTAAAGGCGAGGAAACGATTTTTGTAGATATGTACAGGGATTGCAAAGTTGAATTACGAAAGTGTTTTCATATTGACGCATACCTTACGTTTACTTCTATTCGTTTCTAATATATTAAAGGCCAGGCGTACAAAATGTATGCCCAACATTTCCTTCAATTTGTATATATGCTGTGTACAAAGAAATTTTACTCCAATTTTGTATAAATTGTAATTTGTACAAGCACTGTTTGTACAAGTTACAATTTGTACAAGGTCAAAATACAAATTATAATATGTACAAAATACAAATTATAACAACATATATAAAAGAGGAAGAGTTTTTTACTACCTTTAACGCCGAAATTTGTTCAAGAAATATCCTTCTGGCATTCAAAGGAGCAATCTTCCGAGTATAAACTATAGAAAACACCGGTTTGAACAAATACGGTCAAACATTGAATAGGATAAAGCGTCCGTTAAATATTCTTGGGATAACTTTAGGGTTAGGGTTAGGGTCAAAACCGCTATAAAGAACATCGGTTTTTACAAAAAAGGTCAAACATTTAATCAAATAAAGCGTAACCTCGGGAGTGTGCGAATCGCATCATTGAAAACGAGTGCATGCTAACCTCGGGAATGTGAGTATGGAATAATCACTGGTAACGGGTGCAAGGTAAACTCGCGAATATGAGTATCGAATCACTGGTAGCAGTTGGATGATTTCCTCAGGACTGTCAGAACTATTTTTTGTATTTTGTAAATAAGGATTATAGTGTGGTCATTGAATAAAAAAAAATTTTTAGTATGTATCAATGCTTTTTTATAACGAAATCCATACTATAAATTATTGTACAAGTTCTGGGTAAATTTTACTCAAATTTTGTGTAAATAGTAATTTATACAAGCACTGTTTGTACAAGTTACAATTTGTACAAGGTCAAAATACAAATTATAATATGTACAAAATACAAATTATAACAACATATATAAAAGAGGAAGAGTTTTTTACTACCTTTAACGCCGAAATTTGTTCAAGAAATATCCTTCTGGCATTCAAAGGAGCAATCTTCCGAGTATAAACTATAGAAAACACCGGTTTGAACAAGTACGGTCAAACATTGAATAGGATAAAGCGTCCGTTAAATATTCTTGGGATAACTTTAGGGTTAGAGTTAGGGTCAAAACCGCTATAAAGAACATCGAACATTGGTTTTTACAAAAGGTAACCTCGCGAATTTGAGTATCGAATCACTGGTAGCAGTTGGATGATATCCCCAGGACTGTCATAATCAAATCAGTGTCAACATGTGGATTATAACCTAGGAACTGACAGTACCAAATCACTGACAATTGGTGGATTGTAACCTAAGAGTGTCAGTTTGAAGCAGTCATAACGGACGCATGGTAAACTCTGGACTGTCAAAAGTCCAGGTGTTATAGGTGGATTGTAATTTCGGGAATGTCAGTAGCCCGGTACAAACAGGTGGCACGCAACCTAAGGAATGTCAGTATCGAACCACCGGTTACAGGTGAATGGTTACCTCAATCTGTCAGCATCGAAGCAAATGTTACCTCGATATACTCGCTTGAGAAAGATTTTGGATAAGAAAATTAAACTTTGACCCCAATGATTCTTTTCAAGTGTTGTTTATAAATACATTATTTGTATGCTATGTAAACGTAATCATATAATTTGTCTTGAAGCCATTTGGATATTAAATAGTCTGAATGAATTGAACACCTACTGTAAAAGTATATAAGAAAAGCGCATTGACTTCGTGCCGAATCCTTATGTCAAGTTAAAAAGTTGAAAAGAGTTGCCATTAGTATGCTACAGACACAACTTCTATGTATTATCCTATTACATTACAATCTAGATTGACTGTTAGTATCAAGTCAATATCTTAAAAACATTTATGTAGTAGATCAACTTAATAACCCAATACTAGAAGGCCAATTTTCATTCATATTTTAGAAATGTATATCCAATTGATATGCCTATGTAACAAATGGATAATAATATCATGTTTATATTCCAGTTATATGATACTTCAAATTATAAAAAATGTTATAAAAAAAAACCAATCGGGAGGCGTTCTTATATCAAATTGTGTTTTTTCAATAAAATGCAACATTCATGACTGCACATGATTGTCATGACAACTTCACGACAATGCATAGGAAAATTAACCAAATTCCTGATAAAACTAGTCATTTTATGGTAACGTTAACGTGGTAGTATATATACATCTAATAATAAGAATTGAATCTGCTTTTTGTAATTTTATGGAGTGTTAAACGTTTGTCTTGCGCATATTTTTAGGATGAAGCGCTACGATCAACGCTTAAACATTCCCAATACAATGACAGGATGAAGCATGCAATTTCTAATTAGATATGATATTCATATTATTAGTTTTATAGTTATCCCTGTCTAGTCGTCTAAACAGTAACAGTTTAATAAATGTCAAAACTATTACACATATTTAGGATAGAGGAACGATTCTTCACAAGCGATGGAGCTGTTGGAGGCCGTTTTGTTAAAGCAGTTTTCATTGAGTATACAGACGGATCATTTCAAAAACGAAAAAAACGCATTAAAGACGAGAAACATTTGGGGATACTTGGACCACCAGTTAGAATTGAAGTAGGAGAAATGTTAGAAATTATACTTTTAAACAAAGCAAGCCGGCCTTATTCCTTTAATCCATTTGGTCTTGCATTCACCAAAGATAACGAAGGAGCATTCTATAAAAACGACAGATATAGTAAGTTACATAACAATAAAAGCTGATAATTATAACTTATCATAAAGACAAATATTTAATTAGTACATTGTAGTTCATGTTATTTCATGTTATATGAGTATATGAGAACTTAACAATAATTAAAATGACAATGCGTTTATGCTGGAAATCCATTATACCTGTTGACACTAATTTATTATAATTGCTTGTCGGTTTGTCATTATTTTTGATAAGGACAATAGCAAATACAATGAATACATTCTTAAAATAAAACAAAAAACATATAAGACGTGACTCTGGAATATCCTCTTCGTCTGTTAATAATTTTCGCTAGACTTCTTTTTTTACTTTTTGTCAGATATTCGGGATCCTCCGATTTAATGCATTTGGTGCTAGTAAAAAAAACTACTGTGGATTCATTTATTTTCGTGGGTATCAATTTTCGTGGATTGAGGAACACTTGCATTTTCGTGGATATTTGATTTCGTGGTTTTGCCAATCTCTGCATACAAAGCCAAATTAACATTTGTAATTTAAATTATAATATGATATATGTTAAATTATTATCTGGTATTTGTTAAAGTAAACCCTGAATCTGTTAAATTATAATCTGATATCTGTGAAATTAAACCTGATATCTGTTAAATTATAATCTGATATATGTTAAAATATAATATTATATCTGTTAAATAATAATCTGATATCTGTTAAATTATAATCTGATATATGTTAAATTATTATCTGGTATTTGTTAAAGTAAACCCTGAATCTGTTAAAATATAATCTGATATCTGTGAAATTAAACCTGATATTTATAAAATTATAATCTGATATATTTTAGAAGGGTCGGTTTTTGGTCTATAGTGGGTATTACTATCATGCTACAAAAAAAATTCCAACAACGTCACGAATATATTCTTTCCGGTATATGCTTATTATTGGGATTTTTCGTAAAACTAAATAAAAAAGCATACGATTTCACGCAAATTTGAACATCTTATTACCGACAATTATGATTATAGATAAAACACACCTGACCAATAACCTTCGGGAGCGTATCAGGTAGCACTAAAGTTATGATCAGATATCTGTTAAATGTTTAAATTATAATCTGATATCAGTTGAATTATAATCTGATATTTTTTAGTAAAATTGAGACTGGAAATGGGGAATGTGTCAATGAGACAACAACCCGACCAAAGAACAGAAAACAGTCCAAGGCCACCAATGGGTCTTCAACACAGTGAGAAAATCCCGCTTGAACAAAATTTGTACTAGTTCAATGAAAATGGACGTCACACTTAACTCCAAAACATGTAAATGAACTAAAATTAAAAACTAACAAAGGCCAGAGGCTTCTGACTTGGGACAGGCGCAAAAATGCGGCGGGGTTAAACATGTTTTGTGAGATCTCAAGACTCCCCCCATACCTCTAGCCAATGTAGAATATACAAACACACAGCAATACGCACAGTAAAACTCAGTTTAAAAGAAATCCGAGTCCGATGTCAGAATAGGTAACAAAAGAAACTAGTAAGCAAAATGACAATGATACATAAATTAACAAAGGACTACTAGCAGTTACTGACATGCCAGCTCCAGACCTCAATTAAACTAATTGAAAAAATATGTCTTCATCATATGAAAATCAAGCACAATCCCTCCCGTTAGGGATTTAGTATCATACCATCATAAAACATATGAGAAGAACATAACCCGTATCATGCCAACAACTGGTTGTAGGATAAATGAGTTTATTTACGATGCAAAGACCATATGAGTAAGTCAATATTCATACCAAAATATGCCATCTTTAATGACCTGACAACAGTATCGTAACTATATCCCTTCTGAATAAGTCTGTTAAAATGTTTGGTTAGCTTTTGAGGTGAATGTTGACATTTTTGTGCTTTGTATATAATATTACCATAAAAGATTGGATGTGAAATACCTGAACGTATAAGATGTCTGCATGTTGATTTATATTTACGAATGATGTCCTTGTACCGATGATAAAATTTAGTAAATGTTTTGACTAGTTTGTGATATCGAAAACCCTGGTGTAATAACTTTTCTGTAATACAGTGGAAACGTTAAAACAAATATGTTGTCACATACACGAGCGAATCGAACAAGTTGAGATATATAAACACCATAAGATGATGACAAGGGAACGTAACCATCTAAAAATGGATAATTACCAACAGGAAATGATAAATCATCCCTTTTATCATAAATTTTGGTATTAGCCTCCCCGTTAAAGTATTGATATCAAGATCCAGGAAAGGGCAGTGTTCATTGTTAGTATTAGCTTTATTTTAAATCAGTTCAGCAGGACAAATCTTTTAAGTGTACATACTGAAGTCGTCAATATTGAGAGCCAATATATCATCCAAATATCTAAAAGTGTTATTAGATTTTTGTATCAGATGTTGTTTTGATGGGTCTTTGCTGATTTTAGTCATAAATTGTAACTCATAGCAATATAGAAACAGGTCCGCAATAAGTGGCGCACAGTTAGTCCCCATTTGAATTCCGATAACTTGGCGATATACGGAATCTCCATAGCGAACAAATATGTTATCTAGTAAAAATTCAAGGGCGGTTATCGTATCAAAGCAGGTCCAATTGACATAGTTATTTTGTCTGTTGTCACTAAAAAATGACCTTAAAGAGTTAGAACATATATATTCGCATTCTGACTTTTTAAATGCCCATTTAATTCGATGTGTGCTTTTTTTCTTAATAAGATTATGAGGCAAAATGGTATATAGGGTAGAAAAATCAAAACTGTGAACAGATTCGAAATCTCAATTATAAGCATGCAATCTATCAAGTACTTCCAACGAATTTTTGACACTCTAAAAGTAATTAATTCCACTATTTTCAAAGGACTTATTTGAACAATTTATGACCAGGTTCTTGATTGTACCAAGTGTACTAGTAAGTAGAATTAAGAGATAACTGTATTGTATTTGAAGCTTTGCGGACGTCCATCGGTAGTTTTACTGTCGCAAATTTAGTTTACCTGGCGACGCAACGCTTGCAAAACAAGTACATAATTCAATTTCAATCATTATTTCAGTGTAAAATTTTCATTAAAGAAAATTCCGCGAAAAGATGTTATCTTCTTTGGCCCCTAAACAAGGTGACGTCATAGGTATGCTTCCGGCGTCAAACGTAAACACCGAGCGTTTTCTAGCTTCTTGACCGCTTCGGAATGTAATCAAATTTGATAAAAGAAGATTTCTAGGTTCAAGATGTGAGTTTCTTGCTTATTATCGTAGAAATTACATGTCAATACATTCCGCAATTCAAAATGTCGGCTTACTTAGTTACAGACAAGGATATAGAGAATTTTATGCTTACTGTCATCCAATCAGAACCATTGATACAAAATAATTGTATTAGAATAGACAGTTTAGTAGTGGAACAATGGCTTGAAGAAGAAATAAATCTAGTAGTCTATTTAAAGACGAAGACATCATAAGTCATGCACCAAATGTAGATTGTTCTATAAGTATATGACCTCTAGATCTGCTTTATTTAATTTTTTTATTTCGCCTGCGGTGAAGTCGCTTAAAGGAAATTTAACGACAGTAGGTATTCATTTGTATCAGCATTGGCACTTTATGATTAGTTAGTCGTCATGATTTTTCTTTATGTTGCATAGTTGAAACACTTTGAATTATATGATTAGGTCAGTTTGATTGGAACTACAAATGTTAATGCAATACTATCCTATATGCAATTTTAAAAACATAACACATCCGATTTCCATGAAGTTTAAATGTTAAAATGCGGCAATTTCAATTTCAGTATTTGGTTTATTTCATAACATTACATACAGACGACAGGTATCTCTGTATTAACCGTAACGACAAACAGACGACATGTATCTCTGTATTAACTCTAATGAAATAGAGACAATTGACATCTCTCTATTATTCGTAATGACATACAGACGGCAGGTATCTCTGTATTAACCTTTATTTTTCAGGCAGTGAAGTCTCAGGTGCTGCAGCGATGCCTAGACAACAACGTCGCTATATTTTTACTGTACCATGGGATTATGGACCTACAGAAGAAGATCCACAATGTGTAACAGAAACGTACCAATCATTTGTTGATTACACTAAGGACCAGAATTCTGGTTTGGTCGGTCCACTCCTTATTTGTAAACCAGGATCTTTAAACGCGTTCGGAAGGCAGGTAAGAAACTTTGTATAGCGTAATATATCGGTGGTCACATCACATTATATTTGGTATCTTCACAGGGGATTCTGTGCTCATATTCCCAGTCAGTGTTTTATATCTAGGGGCCACCCTACACAGGGTATAATGGCTCATAATTCACTGTCATTGTTTTATATCTTCTAAGCCGCCCTTCACAGCGGATGTGGGCTCATATTCCCTGTCAGTGTTCTATATCTTCTGATCTGCCAGGAGCAGTAACAAAACAACACCTACCAACGTCTTATACATAATGGACCATAACAGGACAACATCTACCAACATCTTATACTTACTGAGCCATAACAAGACAACATCTACCAACGTCGTATAAATAATGAGCAATAAAAAGACAACACTACCAACGTATTATACATAATGCAGAAATAACAAGACAGAATCTACCAACGTCTTATACATTATGCAGAAATAACAAGACAGAATCTACCAATGTCTTATATATATATAATGGCAACAGTAGTATACCGCTGTTCAAAAGTCATAAATCGATTGAGAGAAAACAAATCCGGGTTGCAATTTAAAACCGAGTGAAACACATCAACTATAAGAGGAAAACAACGGATCAACAGAAACACTGAAGTGCAACAAAAACAAACGCCAACGTACATAGAAACAAACTATTTGATAACAATTGCCATATTCCTGACTTGGTACAGGACATTTTAAGAAAAATGGTGGATTGAACCTGGTTTTATGGCTAGCGAAACCTCCTGCTTATATGGCAATATTAACAAATATCGCTAAAATGACAACAATACGTGACAGAAATACAGCACAAACAAACGCAAGAATACTCAGCGCAGACAAACGCACAAATAAATAATATAATAGTCGTTACAACATGTAATACAGCAATAACAATTCAGATATACTAAAACATTGCTTAATATATTGTTTTAATACAGTTATGAACGCTTCCAGTCCTACATCCTGCCAATACTTATATTTAGACATTGCATAAGGTCATGTTGTTCTCAGATTGTTAATGACATCTTTTCACTAAATCCATTAGATTTGTGCTGATTGTTTTGAGCCTAGGAAACATGATTTATTGATTAGTTGTAATCGGTTAAATACTAGCTTTCAGTAACTTTTAGTACTCTTAGATCGGTACTTTGTGTATTAAATCTTTTTGTTAGTTGTTTTTGTCTATTTTTCGATCTGATGAGTCGAGCATTTTGCAACTGATTTGTATAGTTTCCCGTTATGGAATATCTGTTTCACTGATGACAACGGATATGTTCCAATTGTCGTTACTGCAATCCCATCCTCTTTTCCCCGAATTTGACCTCCCGAATAAGACCGAATTTGTACTTTAATGAGCAACACGCCGGTGCCACATGTGGAGCAGGATCTGCCTACGTTTCCTGAGCACCTGTGATCACATTCCAGTTTATGGTGGTGTTCGTGTTGCTCAGTCTTTAGTTTTCCATGTTATTTTTGTGTACTGTTGTTTGTCTGTTTGTCTTTTTTTTTAATCATAGCGTTGTTAGTTTATTTTCGACACATGAGTTTAAAAGTCCCTCTGGTATCTTTTGCCTCTCTTTTATAGCTTGCCAAAATGGTGCTGTTCGAAAACTGTCCAATGTTATGTGAGGGTTGAGAGATCACAAATATGTTTAACATTCTGAATGTGCCTGTCGAAAATAAGGCGCTAATTTCAGTGGGTGTCGTCGGTTGTTGTCTAATAGCTTTGTAATTGTTTTATTTTGTCGGTTGTAAACAACAAGACATAGAAAGCCCCATGTCTTAAAGTTATGGTGTTTGTCACAAGTGTCTATACAATACATCAACAAAGAAAAAGCTCCGTGTCTAATGGTAATGGTGTTTGGCAATAGTGTATATACATTACATCAACAAAGAAAATGCCCCGTGTCAAATGGTAATGGTGTTTGGCAATAGTGTATATACTTTACATCAACAAATAGAAAACCTCATGTCTAATATTATTGGTGTTTGGCAAAAGTGGATATACATTACATCAAGAAATAGAAAGCCCTATGTCTAATAGTTACAATGGTGTTTGGCAATAGTGTCTATACATTACAACAACAAAAAAGGAAGCCCCATGTCTAATAGTTACAATGGTTTTTGACAATAGTGTCTATACATTACATCAACGAACATAAAGGCTCATGTGTAATAGTTATGGTGTTTGACAATAGTGTTTATACAATATATCAACAAATAGAAAGCTTAATGTCTAATAGATATGGTGTTTGACAATAAGATCTATACATTCAATCAAGAAATAGAAAGCCCTATGTCTAATAGTAATGGTGTTTGACAATAATGTCTCTACATAACAACTTGAAATAGAAAGCCCCATGTCTAATAGTTATGGTGTTTGCAAAAGTGTCTATACAGTACATCAACAAATAGAAAGCCCCATGTCTAATTGTTATGGTGTTTGACAATAGTTTCTATACAATACATCACGAAATAGAAAAGCAAATGTCTAATGGTAATGGTGTTTGACAATAGTAATTATGCAATACATCAAGAAATAATTAGCTCCATGTTTAATAGTTATGGTATTTGGCAATAGTGTTTATACATTACATCAAGAAATAAAAAGCCCCATGTCTAATAGTTATGGTATGACAATAGTGTATATACATAACATCAACAAATAGAAAAGCACAAGTCTAATAGTTATGGTGTTTGGCAATAGTGTCTATACATTACATGAAGAAATAGAAAGCCCAATGTCTAAAGGCAATGGTTTTTTGCAATAGTGTCTATAAAATGCATCAACAAATAGAAAGCCCAATGTCCAATGGCTATGGTGTTTGGCAATAGCGTTTATATAACACATAAACAAATGGAAAGCCCCATGTCTAATAGCAATGGTGTTTGGCAATTATAGTCTTTATACAATATTACATCAAACCACCCTAATTCAAATAAATATGATTTGTCAATTCAGTTTTCATAAACAGAACATATTCATTTAAAGCATGGTGTAGACAAAGAATATTTCCTAATGTTGATGAATTGGTTTGAACAAGATAGTTGGTACTTTAATCAAAGTATATCCTTGGCCATGCTGAATGGTAAAATAGTTGACCAAGAAAACGATATGTTAAGAGATGTGAACGCTTTAAGAGGTTGGTATCTAGATTATGAACTTATATCTATGATGCATGTCACCACTTTGAGTCAATGTATACTAGCCTTCAAGTTTCAGTGCAGAATGGTACAACAGGACAGAAGAAATACTAGTAGATCATTATTTTAATGATTGTTGTATCAAAGTGATTGTGATGACTGAAGGGCAGTATGCCAATCCATCAACAATCTGATGCCATCAATGTGTTGACAGCAAATGAAGATCTAGCTTCACCATGCAAACTATGTGTCTAACTGCTCATATGATATACCACCTTATAGGAAAACGGCAATGAGACAGCGTCCATGAGGACGTCACATTTTAAAACATTTTCTATTTTGGGGATTTATTATGTTACTTCATACTTCTTCAGTTACATGTTACTGTCTAAACTTATTTTGCTCCTAAACTTCAAACATCGTCACTGCTCGCTATTCATCTAACTTAATCTACAAATATATTTACATTTAACATTGTACGTTTGTATATCTCTCCATTGATGCACACTTTTAACATGTATTATGTTTTGTCTCAGCAATAAACGGTAGAGTTTTCGGCAACATTGGCGGTTTTGAAATGTGTGTTGGAGACAAAGTATCCTGGCATGTTCTTGGATTTGGTGCAAGATTTCAGTTCCAGAATCCAGTGTTTGAAGGAAACAATGTCCGATATGATGGACGAATGGTTGATCACGTGCCTGTTTTCCCGGGCACTAGTCAGACAGCTTATATGATTCCAGATAATCTGGGTAATTTTATGTTTTCTTTTTCAACTAGACTACCATAACTTAATGTTACAATTAATTTCCAAAAGGGCAACACAGACCGTTAGTTGAAGACAATCAGAAAAACCCATGGTCAAAAGATAAAACTGTCAGACAAACCCATGGTCAAAATATAAAAATGTCAGACAAACCCATGGTCAAAAGAAAAACTGTCAGACAAACCCATGGTCAAAAAATAAAACTGTCAGACAAACCCATGGTCAAAAGAAAAACTGTCAGACAAACCCATGGTCAAAAGAAAAACTGTCAGACAAATCCATGATCAAAAGAAAAACTGTCAGATAAATAACAGTCAACAAAACACTACATATAAAATTTATTGAACAACACAAATCCCTGTACAACCAGGCACCCCGGAAAAATAAGCATATCTTGCTCCCCCAATGACAGCCGCCATTGTACTCGTTAGATTATTCTAAATGATTTGCATTTGTTTTCCAAATGAATGTTTTCATTGGATTATGTTACCATGTTTCCCATTAATTATATTATATGATAGGTTTTAGTTTAAAGATGTATAACGTTATCTTTGTTGATACTTTGGCTTGAATTGGGATTTTTTTGGTTCTATTCTTATATTGTTAAACTTTTTAATCAATTAACTTTTGATATCTTTTCAACAAATATTTAACTATTTCCATTGATTTCAAATCTTAGATATGGTCGTTCCCTATGAAGGTTAATCCATAGAAGTGTTTCGAACGCACCAAATTTATATAAAGTGTTATTTAAAATTTTAACTTATCTTATCTGGCATTCTGTTATCTCTATCTATTCAGTTATTTCCCATTGTATATAGTAATTCTATACTCACGGACTTTAATAACGCAACACACATTTTGTTGATTTTTTTTTATCAAATCATTATTAATCTTCTGTTAACGGCTATTCATGCTTACCACACTTTTATTCTGATTACAAATATTCAATATGTGACTTACCTGAGACAATCAATTGGACATACCGCATTGTTGAAATCGCACGAATTTCTTTACACTAGATTTGACACCTATGATTTTAGTGATTTCAATGATTTACGCTTACAACGACTTAAGTCATTTGTCTACCAACTGTTTTGATCAAGCGGCAATGATAATTGTTAGTCGTGCTTGCCAAATTAAGTCTTTTATCGTGTCTTTGATAAATTTTAAGATTGGTTGAAAATATAATAACAAAAATACCGAACTCCAAGGAAAATTCAAAACAGAAAGTCCCTTATAAAATGCCAAAATCAAAAACTCTAACACATAAAACGAATGGAAAACAACTGTCATATTCCTGACTTGGTACAGGTATTTTCTGTTTCTTTGTATTTATAGGAAAGTGGCTTCTCCATGCTGGTCAGTTAGAATCTCAGACAGACGGCATGGTAACTAGATATAATGTAGGCCTGTGTAATCGCCATCTGTTAGTGTCTATTCCTGTCTTTAAGAAGACTGTAATTCGCAGGATTTATATAGCAGCAGTAGATGTTATCTGGGATTATGCACCGAGAAAATTAAACATTGTGACAATGGGGGATCTTAGAGATCCAAATACGTAAGTAGGGTGACATCAGCGGTCTATTGAAACTATTTAAATGGATTGAGAAAACCTATACATGTGTATTAAAGTAAGAAAGGTATTAAGATTTGAAGATGTCCAGAAACTATAACTATTAGGGTAGAATATCTTATCTCTAAATATAATGACTGATGGGTTAAGATTACAAATATTACTATCTTAGATCGCAGGGGACTCGTCAAATATGTTGAAAATAACAATCTATTTGGAACTAAAAAATTAAACAATGTTTATTAGATAACATAATGACGATTTACTGATAAACAATCATATATGGAAACAGCAGCGCTTTCAAAATTTTGTTTGCCTATTCATTCACCAACCAAATGAATTTGATTATTTATCAAGAATGTCAATTGTACTTTAACATGATGTTTTTATTTTAGACCGGGTAATCTTTATGTTCGTAACACTGACATGTTTATTGGCACACAATATAAAAAGACTGTGTACAGGGAGTTCTATGATGCATCATTCTCAAGACAGGTACAGCGTACAGAGAAAGATAACCATCTGGGAATACTCGGGCCATTCATTAAGGCAGCAGTTGGAGACGTCATTGAAGTAGTTTTCAAAAATATGGCGTCTTTTGATAATTCTATATACTTGAAGAATCTACCACTGGATAATGAAATGTCTAAACACTTAAGAAATGGTGTAAAACCAGGAGATATGAAAATGTACAGATGGCGAGTTCCAGAACGATCCGGTCCTGGCAGAAATGAGCCTAACTGTGTTGGATATTCATATAATTCGCCTGTTTACCCTAATAAGGATATTGCAACGGGTCTGATTGGACCGCTAATTATTTGTAAAAGAGGTGTTTTGGATGTTCATGCCAACAGAATCGACAAAACAAACAGAGAATTTGCGTTAGCTTTTGTTGTATTCAATGAATCTTATAGCCATTACTTTGACGAGAATGTACGAGTGAGAGCACCAAACAGAATAAATCGGGGTGACTCATTTTTCCAACAATCTAATAATAAGTTTAGTATTAATGGATTTATTTTTTCTAACATACCGAATCTAGAAATGGTAGTGGGAGATACAATAGCATGGTACACGTACTCATTTGGTTCCGCCGCAGGTGCACATTCAAATCATTTTCATGGACAAACTTTTATAAAAACTTCGGCATTATCTTTCCGGGATGATGTGGTTGGTGTTGTTCCAGGATCCTATGAAACTGTAGAAATGTTTGCAGATAACCCAGGAACGTGGTTTGTCCATTGTCATTTAGGAGTACATATGTCTGCTGGTATGCTAGACACGTACACGATTTTACCAAGGAATCACACAGAGGCCCTTATCGAGTTGGCCCTCAAAGGTTACCACGTATAGGCAGAGGAGACGGAACAAGATTAGACGAAGAGTGTATTGATGTTAATCAATAAATGTTACGTTGGTAGTTTGTTTTACAGAATGGAATCTTAGTATGTTAAACAGATCCTCATGTCGTTCAAAAGATTTTCTCCCAACAATTCTCGTCACAAATGGTGATATACATATTACTGATGCCTATAGTCTAATGTTATGCAGGTTTGATAGATTGATTGTTGTTTGCTTAATCTCCAGTGACAAATATGTCTTGCATATTCAGGACGACGAGAACAAATTAACAATAATTCAAAAATATATTTTGCATGTGGAACACTGACCTTACACAAGGCATCGAATTAAACGTCCCTATAATACTACTGTTAAGTCGTGGCTGCGTACATCACAAACAGTCATGTAGACGCTCCTCTTAAGCCTGTATTTACTACAGGGTGGGATTAATTCAGGCATGACTATATTTCTAGACCCCTTTATTTAGAATGTTAACAAATACTAATAATAAATCAAATTAATAGGTTCTGCTGTGTTGGCAGGAATGAAGGGCAGGACATTTAAACAACCACTTAAAAATGATATGTTTGATAGGGCCAGAAATATTTCCCTGCAACAGATCCACGTAGGAACACCACGAAGAGTTGTTGCAATCGTTCTTTTAAAGCATATAACTCTTAATACATGCGGCATTGGACGTCTATGTATATAGAATACGTACATCCTGCTTAGCAAAATAAACACTCAAATCCCTCGGTATGTGTGTTAATGCTGTTTAGGAGAAGTCCAGGTGACCATGTATATTTCTTTATCACAGTCCAGCCTTGGAAAAAAAATAGATCTTAATATTCATAATCGTAAAAGATTATAATTTGCGTTCGATCAAAATTATTAATTGAAAACATTGTTTAACATACTCGACTCAAAGCCTATCATCTATTAAAAACCAAAGCGTGATAGCGCTGGTAACATCATTTCCTATATCCTTTGAAATATATATATATATCAGTTATACGTTTATTTGGCAATCGCCAATGGCAGTCAGCAGGGTTTAAGAACATGTGTTGTTCGACCTGTTAGTCAAATGCGTTTTGTTAAAATATACTTTTTCACTTTTTTTGGTCTTTTGGAAAATGTTGTTTGTGCTGTGTTTGGGCCCCTCTACCAAGAAACTTGTTTTGCATGCACACGTCTAAAAATTGCGCAATCATAGGTTTGAACGTTGTTTTCAATTTAGACTTGTTTATATTTTTTCGTTTGGGCTTGTATTATATTTGCCTTCGGTTTTTTTATGATCCGTTCATCCTATTTTGACTCCTCAAAATTAAAGAGTCTATCCTAAATTGAGGTAAATTGTATGGCTTTCCAAATACCGTTTCGATTCCTAACATCACTGAAGAGACATTAATTGTCGAAATCCGGATATGGTGTACAAAAACCTTTGCACCTTTTGTTTGCGGTATACCATCTTTTCCGCTTGTTTACTGTTTTCTGTTTAGTATTTAATTTATAATTAAGATCAATTTATTACATCGGTGATCCGTTTATTTGGCAATCGCCAATGGCATTCAGCAGGGTTTAAGAACATTTGTTGTTCGACCTGTTAGTCAAATGCGTTTTGTTAAAATATACTTTTTCACTTTTTTGGTATTTTGGAAAATGTTGTTTGTGGTGTATTTAGACCCTTTTAACAAGACATTTGTTTTGCAAGCACACGTATTAAAATTGCGGTTTTTATCGAACGCAATCATAGGTGTGTACGTTGTTTTCAATTTAGACTTGTTTATATTTTTTCGTTTGAATTTTAAAGAGTCGAAATAGGATGAACGGATCATATAAACCCGAAGGAAAATATAATACAAGCCCAAACGAAAAAATATAAACAAGTCTAAATTGAAAACAACGTTCAAACCTATGATTGCGTTGGATAAAAACCGCAATTTTTATACGTGTGCATGTAAACCTTTGTTTTTGGTAGAGGGTCTAAATACAGCACAAACAACATTTTCCAAAAGACCAAAAGAGTGAAAAAGTATATTTTAACAAAACGCATTTGACTAACAGGTCGAACAACTGATGTTCTTAAACCCTGCTGACTGCCATTGGCGATTGCCAAATAAACGGATCACAAGATGTAACAAAATGGATCTTTAATAATATGAATTTAATACCAAACAGAAAACAATAAACTTGCAGTAAAGATGGTATACTGCAATCAAAAGGTGCAAACATTAGTACACCATATCCGGATTTCGACAATCAATGTCTCTTCAGTGATGTTAGGGATCGAAACAGTATTTGGAAGGCCATAAAATTTACCTCAAGTTAGGATAGACTCTTGAATTTTAAAGAGTCGAAATAGGATGAACGGATCATATAAACCCGAAGGAAAATATAATACAAGCCCAAACGAAAAAATATAAACAAGTCTAAATTGAAAACAACGTTCAAACCTATGATTGCGTTGGATAAAAACCGCAATTTTTATACGTGTGCATGCAAACCTTTGTTTTTGGTAGAGGGTCTAAATACAGCACAAACAACATTTTCCAAAAGACCAAAAGAGTGAAAAAGTATATTTTAACAAAACGCATTTGACTAACAGGTCGAACCACTGATGTTCTTAAACCCTGCTGACTGCCATTGGCGATTGCCAAATAAACGGATCACAAGATGTAACAAAATGGATCTTTAATAATATGAATTTAATACCAAACAGAAAACAATAAACTTGCAGTAAAGATGGTATACTGCAATCAAAAGGTGCAAACATTAGTACACCATATCCGGATTTCGACAATCAATGTCTCTTCAGTGATGTTAGGGATCGAAACAGTATTTGGAAGGCCATAAAATTTACCTCAAGTTTGGATAGACTCTTGAATTTTAAAGAGTCGAAATAGGATGAACGGATCATATAAACCCGAAGGAAAATATAATACAAGCCCAAACGAAAAAATATAAACAAGTCTAAATTGAAAACAACGTTCAAACCTATGATTGCGTTGGATAAAAACCGCAATTTTTATACGTGTGCATGCAAACCTTTGTTTTTGGTAGAGGGTCTAAATACAGCACAAACAACATTTTCCAAAAGACCAAAAGAGTGAAAAAGTATATTTTAACAAAACGCATTTGACTAACAGGTCGAACAACTGATGTTCTTAAACCCTGCTGACTGCCATTGGCGATTGCCAAATAAACGGATCACAAGATGTAACAAAATGGATCTTTAATAATATGAATTTAATACCAAACAGAAAACAATAAACTTGCAGTAAAGATGGTATACTGCAATCAAAAGGTGCAAAAATTAGTACACCATATCCGGATTTCGACAATCAATGTCTCTTCAGTGATGTTAGGGATCGAAACAGTATTTGGAAGGCCATAAAATTTACCTCAAGTTAGGATAGACTTTTGAATTTTAAAGAGTCGAAATAGGATGAACGGATCATATAAACCCGAAGGAAAATATAATACAAGCCCAAACGAAAAAATATAAACAAGTCTAAATTGAAAACAACGTTCAAACCTTAGATTGCGTTGGATAAAAACCGCAATTATTATACGTGTGCATGCAAAACAAATTTCTTAGTACAGGGGTCTAAATACAGCACAAACAACATTTTCCAAAAGACCAA